ATGGTGGTGGAGGAGATTGGGATGGGATTGCGATTGTGGCCGAGGGAGAAGGTGGCGCGTGGGTTAGTTGGGGCGGAGGAGGTGGAGAAGATGGTGGTGGAGTTGATGGAAGGTGAAGAGGGGAGAAGGGTGAAGGAGAGGGTGATGGAGGTGAAAGAGGCTGCATATGGTGCACTGAAGGAGAGGGAAGGTGGGTCGTCATGGCGGACGTTGGAGTCGTTGATCGATCATGTGTGTGGAGATGTGGTTCCAAGAGTCTAGCTAGTGATCGGGTTCGGGGTCATGCATCGTCCTTTGGTTGGCTGTTAAATAAATTTGTTATGAATCCATACATATCATGCGTCAAGTTCTCTTTTTCATATTTTAGATTAATGTGTGACGGATGCTGATTTAATTCAACTTCTAAATGTAATGGTTATGGTTATGGTTATGGTTATGGTTGTGCAGCTTCTCTGTCATGCTAACGCCCGTAGCCATTATTACATGGCATGCAAACAAATTGATGTTGTCTTATTAAGTGTCTGTTTAAAAATAAGTCATAGTATTAAAAACATATAATAGTATAGAGCAGATACAGAAGCTCTTAACAAAAACAACTGCAAGATGTGGTTAGCTGAAAAACGCTAAAAGCAACACAAAAAAGGTAGAAAGACAAGGAATTGTGTACAAAAACGAAAAGAGGAAGTTCTGAAGCGAAGGCGAGTGAAGAAACCACTCGAAGAGGTTATATGGAGAAATGCAGCAGGTTTGGATTATCGACAACAGACTATGGATCTCTTTAGTAATCTTCTTGAAACCCACACGAAAACACAAACTTGCAGCTGAGAAAAAAGGATTACTTTTCCTAAACACAATGTTGTTACGGTGACCGTCGTGGCCCAAACAGTTGCTCGCCTCGCTTCGATCAAAGGTTTGTTGTAACACCCCCGTCCCGCGTGGTCAAGGACGGGTGATGTCACAATTGGAATAAAACCAACATGTGTTATATAAAACAGAGCGGCTAACAAAATTTACCAAAAGATAATTACATAACCACAAACGGAGATAACGTGTCTCAAAATACAGTCCCAAAATACCAGCATGTCTACATTAGCCATCAAAAGTTTAACAAAAATATGACTTAATGAGTTATCTTCAATATTGTCATCTCCGTAACTCTCATCCCAAAATCC